ACAGAAAGAAGACTTAATTTTCGTACCTTGCAGTTAGTTAAATTGCTCTTTTCACTCCAATGTCTTCATAAATTTACTCATGAGAAAAAATTAATGTGCTTAATGGGGTCTCCCTAAACCTCTCCAGCCATTTTGGATGGGACAGAAAATACACACACATACACAAAAATATATGCATACATACATATATACATACATAAATTCACAGGTGAATTACAAGAGTATGTTTAATAATATCATCTTTGGAAAGGAAGTAAATTGAGCAGGTGAGGAAAGGACTATTGAACACATAAGAATTGGCTTAGATATTAGTTATAAATGATAAACATCTACGTAATGAATCACATCTGTATTTTTCAACTAATAGGGCCAGTAAACCAATGTATTGTACTTTCTGCAGAAAGCAGAAAACAGTTGGCGATAAAGGTACAATTCTTAATTCGTCATACATTTTTAAAATAAATTTCTAGAATAAAACTGCAGACCATCTTTCTTTTTTTTGCATATAAAGAAGGGCATCACCACGATTGTCCATGTGGAAAAGGAAAGGCTGGTTGGAGCGGCACATGTAACTGTGACATAGGTGCCACCATTGAAGAAATCTCCCCTCCGGGGGAGGTTGGCACATGATCCTGTGAATCGTAACTATTATTGTTGTCTTGTTGAGGAGAAGCACTTACAAAGAAGACCTGGGAACATACATTTATTATTCTTTCATTACCTAGTTCCTTTTTCATTACCTATGTAACCCAGATGGAACCCACGTGTCAGCTGCCTGGATGGATCGCTTCGAGTCCTCCAGTGTGCCAAGGTCAGCTTGTTCTCTAAAATATAATTAAAATGGTCTCAAATCACAGACTCATGTCCAGGGAGTTCCCAGCATTCCTTCCAATATTTACAGCAGTTGTAAGTGAAGACTTTGTCTCTCCTGCTCTTGGCTTCTGAGCTCCTCCTTATGCTGATTTCTACACAAGAATTTAAAAAAAAAACACAAACTCTGAAATACCCTGTGCTGCCTACATAATTGATTTAAATCAAGTTGAGTAATGCAAGTGGAAACACTTCAATAAGTATAAAGAGCTACCTAGGGGAGGTAATAATCTTAACTAAATGAGAAAGTGACATAAGGCGTTGTGAATGCTCCAGGGTAGACTTGAGGAAACTCTGAAGGTAATGAAACAATATCCACTCATTTCATCTGGCTGAAAATAGAGAAAAGGATGAAGTCCTGGCAGGATTTTGAAATAAAGTTGGATTGTCTGTGGGTTATAATAAGAAAAAAATTTACCCATGAAACTTTAAAAGGGAACAACAAAAAAAAGTTAGTCATGGGATTACCAGAACCCAAAAGAAATATTTAACACCAGAAGAGAGCAGGGTCACCAGAATGCTTTGAAGCTGGTTGAGCTGGTAATTAGAAGGAACAACTTTCCTCATCCTTTTTAAGAAAGCAAATCCGCATGGCCTTTGTCTTATTTTCTGGTAACTGCCAGAGCTGTCCTTGGAGCAGTAGGTTGCCAGCACGTTAATCAGCTGCTTCCACAGCCCTGTGTATGCATAGCATCCAGCCTGCTTGCTTCTTACATTGTTTTTCCAAGAATTTGTTCCCAGTCTTACTTCAGAAACTATTTAGAAAGTGATAGTCACAGTTTCCCAACTCCCCACATCACTTTCATGTGATCAAATCTTCAGACTACCTGGATGGACTGTATATCTTTTTCAGCTGGACTAAAGAAAGTTCTGATCAATGAGGCTTCTTTTTTTTTTTCTTTGAAGAGTAGTATATAGTTCACTTAGGCTTCCCTGGTGGCTAAAGAATCTGCCCGCAATGCAGGAGACCAGGGTTACATCTCTGGGTTGGGAAGATCCCCTGGAGGAGGAAATAGCTTCCCAGTCCAGTATTCTTGCCTGGAGAATCCTATGGACAGAGGAGCCCAGTGGGCTACAGTCCATGGGGTCACTAAGAATCAAACACGACCGAACAGCTAACATTCACTTTTCTTTTAATAGTTCATTTATCTTGGGAACTTTTAAGTGTATGGGCTTTCCTTGTGGCCCAGCTGGTAAAGAATCTGCCTGCAATGCAGGACACCTGGGTTCCATCCCTGGGTCAGGAAGATTCCCTGGAGAAGGGAAAGGCTACCCGCTCCAGTATTCTGGCCTGGAGAATCCCATGGACTGTAGAGTCCACGGGGTCACAAAGAGACAGACACGACTGAGCGACTTTCACTCACTCACTTTAAGTGTCTGTCGCAAGTTTTATTCTACATCGGTAGAAAATCCAGTCAGACAAGATTGATCAGAAAATGAAAATACATATTAGCTTTCAAGGAAAAGTTGAGGGAGAATTTAAAACAAGAAAGCGTTAAGTATATGAGAGAGAATGTAGAATGACATAGCCAGCTCCCCCTGCATTCCGTGGCCCCAGTCACCCGCGTGGGTACCCTGACTGCCGTCTCTGCCCGTGGGTCATCCTTTCAGCCCTGTCTCCAGTGTTCGTGTTTCAGGAGGGTTGTCTGAGCCGCTCACCCCTCAGAGAGAGAGACTTCTGCTGGAGGGAGGCGGGGATCGGAGTCACAGGAGTGGACGGGAGTGGGTGAGGGAGACCCCTGCAGGAGTGTAGGGCCTGAGGCGAAGAGGCAGGCAGGAGAGGCCGCCGGCTGAGAGACGCCGGGGCCCAAAGCCCTCCTTGTTCATGACCTGGCCGCATGCTGCCCGTGTGGAGGGCAGACTTAGGGCCCTCTCAGGAGCCTGCTACTAATGAGAGGTCACGACCTGCGGGGCTCTGAAGAAACAGAGGGGGAAAGGGCCGCTTCAGGACTGGGTCACTTTCCTGCCCCATTCTCTGAGAGAATGGTCCAGCACGGCCACGTCACTGTGCAAGCAGGGAGAATTGTCCGGGAGACTGTGATGAGCTAGGACACGTAGAAAGTTCCCCCTCTCTCCCCAAAGACACCACAGGCATGTCTGCTCCCTGCTGACCTCTCAGAGGCTCACTTGGCTCAATTTACTTTTGGATCAGGGTGGTAACGCGCTTCACTGGAGTTCTTCTTTCCAAGGTTTTCCTCTAAGGTGAAGGAAAATTTTCAGGAACGCCCTTCACACCGACAGGTTGAGACGCCAACATGGCCCGCCACCAGAAAGGGTAGGTGTTGGGGAGCCAAACCTGTATACCGTAGCACTCTGTACAAGATGTTGATCATCCCAAAGCAGCTCACAGTAGGTTCGCAATTATGACCATTTTACAGCCTGAAAGTGAATTGTGATGACATTTCTCAAGATAAAGAACTGAAGCCCATGTGACTTCCTTTGTCGATGTCTGCATGTTTCAGATGCTTTAAGCCAGTCTGTAGCAGTGAAACCATAATTCACATGAAAACAATGAGAAATCATTCAAAGCCAGTGTACATGAAAGTGAGTAGCCCACATGACTACTATTTTTAGTGCAGAAATATATTCAAGATCAAAGCCATTAATGTTTGCCTATTTTATTTAATCATGTGCCCTTTACCTGGAAGATGCAGGTCTTATAGCATACAAATGAGTGTACGGGGAAGGTTTCGGGCTTTATGCTGTCCAAATTAAATTCTAAAAAGCCAGAAAATTCATCATTTTGACATCTCTTTGCAAATGCAGAATGTGTGTTGAAATATCTCTTGAAATGTGTCTTGTTTACTTAAGGAATACATTTAGCAGATCATGTTAATTAGAAATAATATCTGAGTAAAGTCTTTCATAATGTATCTCTTTTTAAACATAAAAATCAAGGGGCCAATTTCCCAAGTTGCGAGAATGGATGTTCCCCCTCATTATCTGTATTTGGATTTTGAAGTTTTTTTGTAAGTAAAAGTTTACAGCATCCTTGAGTTTTTACAGCATTGCTTGAGTTTTTGGCATCCATTTTTTTTTACTATATAATAATCTAGGTTTGCAGATATTATGTATTAAGAAATGGAGAAGTTGGGGGAAATTTTTGAAAAGAAACATTGCCTACTCTTGAAATTCCTTGTAAAGTATTATTGTCATATAAGTTGTAGGAAGTGTGTTCTCTATAAGAATACCTCAGAAGCACAATTTTAGATATTGAGAACCTTTCTAACCATTCTCCATTTTGAATTTTTTTTTTTTTTTGGTGACAGATTTCATATAAACAGAATTTTTATGGTGCATGGGTAAAAACTTCCAATTACATCTCTAAAACCATTTTCTGTGTAATTTCAGTGTTACCAAAATATGTAATGTTGTTTACCTTAAACCTCATTGAGCTAAATAAACTCCATGAATAATAGATACAGTTATGTAGTATAGTTTCTAGATGGAAAACTGTCATCATTTTCAAGAGAATGAATGGCTCTGGGGAAATGTACAGCCTAGGAATGACAAAGCTGTCATTCACTCAGAAAACAGAATTGTGGAAATGACAGAGTTGAGCCCTGGGAATGCTCAAATTTGCCTTTAAACAATGCCTTCTTCAAACTAGTGGTTACCAGTGGGGAGAAGAAAGGGGGAAAGGCAATATAGGGATAGGGGTCTAAAGTAGGAACTCTTAGGCATAAAATAAGCTACAAGGATATATTATGCAACACAGGGAACATTTTATAACAACTATAAATGGAGTATAATCTTTTGGATGGTTTATTATTTTATTACTGGAGTATATTGCTTTACAGTGCTGTTTTCGTTTCTGCTGCACAACAACATGAGTCAGCTGTATAGATCCATATACCCCCACCCTCGTGAATCTCCCTTCCACTCCCCCAATTTCTCACACCTTTTTTGAGGTTTTCTGAGCACATCAGGATACACATGTTCACTTTGTGAAGCAGTGGGCTAGATTTAGTCATGTAGCCGCTACTCAAACAGAACTCCAATGTGGCGAACCAGAAAGCTGCTGTTGCCAGCCCTGAGCTACAAGGAGCTAGCATAAAGTGGTGTGGTGCACGGCGCACTTAGAAATGCAGGTGCTGCAGCCAAGTTATCTCCGCTCTGGTCTCTTCCAGGTGCTTCATCCCAAACATCTATGCCGCCCTCTTCACTGCAGCCCTTGTCCCTTTAATGTGCCTCGTGGTGGTGTTTGTGGTGTTCATCCACGCCTACCAGGTGAAGCCACAGTGGAAAGCCTACGACGATGTCTTCAGAGGAAGGACAAATGCTGCAGGTTTGTAAGAAACCGTTTTCACACTTTGGAGCTGGGTGCTTTTAATGGTGGGAAAAGGTCACTGAATGGTCTTTATCAAGAACAGGAAGGAGGTTAGACTCAGCTTTCAGCTTTGAAGCCAAAAGTTACAGTCCTCTGATTTCTCCTGCTCCTTGGGCCTTCCTTGCATCTCTCTCTCTCTTCAGGGTTCTGCAGGTTTCATTGCTGGTGCCAGTTTTGTCCTGAAGATATTAATATTCAAGTAAATGACTCAGAGCCTTTGGGAGCTGCTTCCCCAAGTGTTTTTCAACTCAAGCAGTAACAACCTGGGTTCAACCTGTGAAATCTGTTCATGTCTTGCAGACTCTGAGACTTTATCACAAACTTTATCACAAACGTTATCACAAGCATTCCTAGTGCTTGTGAGTGCTGTAGTTTTGCATGTGGAGTTCTGATTGTGCAGACAGATGTTTAAAAACATATGTGACCAGACAGCTTCATAAGTGGCTGCACATGTCTGGTTACTTAAGAGTGCAAGTCTTTCCAGCTCAAATTGGCTTTCACTACCAGCTCATTTTTTCCCTTTGAATCATACTTAACACCGGGTTTTATGATCTGATTCTTTTTCTGTTGTTAGATTAGAGTCTCTTAGGAATGTTTTTAAGGAACAATACCAAATACCTACATACAGAAAACTCAGTCTAAAATGATTTGAGTGGTTGGAATATTGAGAATCTAATGAGTTGGGGAGTAGAGGAATCTCTCTTGGGCCAAGAGGAAGACTAGTCTTTTCTATAAGATCAGTTAAAGATAAGTTAGTTGCTCAGTCATGTCCGACGCTTTGCGACCCCATGGACTGTAGCCCACCAGGCTCCTCCGTCCATGGAATTTTCCAGGCAAGAATACTGGAGTGGGTTGCCATTTCCTTCTCCAAGGGATCTTCCTGACCAGGGATTGAACCCAGGCCTCCAGCATTGCAGGCAAACTCTTTACCATCTGAGCCACCAGGGAAGCCCAAGTCTTTTCTAAGCTTCTGCAAGTCTAAAGCCAAAGGAATGAGAGAAGTTCTTCACATGTTAAGTGTGGTCCAGAGTTTAAGCAGCATACCATCCATGAAGTCACTTAGAATAGTGTCTAATACATTATGTCTAATACATAATTAGTGTCTAATACATCAATAGATACTGTCTCTTATATGATAATAAAAAGATTCATTCTAACATACTAAAAGCTCCTAGTTCCTAAACTGTGTCAGGGAAGATGCAGAAAGATTCTCCTTGTAGTGTAAAGAGAAAGGACTCTTCTATATTAACTTATGGGGTAGTTTGTATGATAGCTGTATCTAGCCAACTCTTCCCTCTTCTCTCTGATTTAGCATGCAATTATTATGTGGGCAAAAATAGCACTCACGGTTATGACTAAACTTAGATGCTTCCATTAGAAAAGCAGTATTCATGAAAGCAACCTAGATGCCCATCAGCAGATGAATGGATAAGGAAGCTATGGTACATATACACAATGGAATATTACTCAGCCATTAAAAAGAATTCATTTGAATCAGTTCTAATGAGATGGATGAAACTGGAGCCCAATATACAGAGTGAAGTAATCCAGAAAGATAAAAGACCAATACAGTATACTAACACATATATATGGAATATAAAAAGATGGTAATGATAACGCTATATGCAAAACAGAAAAAGAGACACAGATGTATAGAACAGACTTTTGGACTCTGTGGGAGAGGCGAGGGTGAGATGTTCTGAGAGAATAGCGTTGAAACAAGTATACTATCAAGGGTGAAACAGATCACCAGCCCAGGTTGGATGCATGAGACAAGTGCTCAGGGCTGATGCACTGGGAAGACCCAGAGGGATGGGATGGGGAGGGAGGTGGGAGGGGGGATCGGGATGGGGAACACATGCAAATCCATGGCTGATACATGTCAATGTATGGCAAAAACCACTACAATATTGTAAAGTAATTAGCCTCCAACTAATAAATGAAAAATAAATAAATAAATAAAATATTCATGCAGCGAAAAAAAAAAGAAAAGCTATATTCAATGTAGAAATTGTACTTTTTCATGGGACGTAGAATCTATCCAGAATCTGTGCTTTTATCCAACTTGAGATTCATTCTATTAAAATACATATTCTCTTTTGAAGGCAAAGTTTGTTTCTCCCAAATAGCAAGATTTATTTTGTTCTGTATACTATATAGAAGTGCCAGTATTTGCATGTTTCAGTAGTGATAACATCATAGAGGCCTAACCTAATGAGTTAGTCTTTTTCATTCCTGAATCACCCCTGTGCCTTTTGGCTATGATCCATGGATACAGTAGATAAACAATGCTCCAATTATCTGAAAAGCAGCTCTCAAGTATTGAACATAAAAATCCCTAGAACACTTGTATCTCAACTAGCAAAACCCAATGAAATATATTAATAGAAGCATTGCTCTTATTATAGCTTTTCAATTAATAAAACAATTACGGCAGTTCTGATTTTCCTGTTCCCAGTCAACCTAACAGTCATTATCTCACTTGGACTCTTAAACAGTGTTTTCCTAATTAGTCACTAATTCCAGTTTTTGTCCGTTTCGTTTTCTCAGATGTCTGTATTTCAACAATGTCAAGGGGCTCCCTTCACTCTCTAGCTTTACAATCATTCAGCTTCATTGCCCAAAAGAAAGTCCAGGCTCTTGATAACACTAGAGTCTCTTTCCATCACCCCTGGGCCATCTTGTCACCCCCAAGTTAGTTACCACTCAGCCTACGTTCTGGCCATCATTGATTTAATCTTACTCATTCTTGAAATGACCTGATCTGTCATCTCTGCTCATGTAAGATGCCCTCTATGAACTCCTCATCATTAGTTGATTAAAAAAAAAAAAAAACTCATGTGTTTAGTAAGTAATGAGAGAAAATGTAGATGAAAGAGAGGTGTAAGGGACTTACTATGCTCCCTTAATCTATCTTAGCTCCCCAAAGCCATCCTCAATAAATGCATAATCTAAGTAAAAAATGTGTGCTGAGCAATCCCAAGTTGACTCCTTCCAACAAGATACTGCTCACTTTTTTATGGAAATTGTGGAAGCTCCCAGTATGCTACTTCTTCCATGAAGACTTTGAAATTAATGTCTTTACTGTATCAAATAAGAATTACTCATCCTTCTTCTATGATTTTAAAGCACTTTGCCCCTACGGCCATTAGAGCACTTAACACTTACTTCAGAATGGAATGGTGACTTGTTTTGGTGTGTGTGGCTGATTTCCTTAATAAATTATGGATTCCTCAAGGGCAAGGACCATTTATTATTCATCTCTGCATCATCAGAGCCTTGTAGAGTGTTTAGTGGATAGCAGGAGCATAATTAATATTTGTTGACTGAATAAACTAATAATCATCAATGCACCATAAAATCTTATAATTATAGGAATGCACCCGCAAGTTAAATATAGCATTAAGATGAAGAGGAATCTGTCATATCATCCAAAGTAGAAATTATGGAATTTATCTCATTGATCTGTTTGTAGCTACCCCTTTGAAATTTATTATTAGGACTATTATTTTTTCCTTCTGTGATTCCCAAAACTATGTGTTCAGCCTTGACCTCTGACTTGATACTTTAGATTTTATTTGAAGCCTCCTTTAACTCTCCTCCACTTGAATATGTTCCACTTAGCTCAAATTCAAAAACGTCAAGAGAAAAACTGTCTGTCTACTCAGGGCCATTTGATAGTCTCTTTGAATCTGTCTGCTAAAATTCTGTTGCCTTGACCTGAAAAATATTGTCAAGACGGGGCTGTAAAATTCATGTTTTGCCCATTTTGCTGGTCCAAATGCATCACAGTTAATGACAAGATATAACAAGAGAAAATTAAGAAGATGAAATGGGGATCAGAAACACAAAGTGGAATATAAGCTGGGCTGCAGCCAAGGGCCTGATGTTTTCTGGGTCCACAAGCCTGTGAATGCAGAAGTGTCTCAGCTGCTGTGGCGGTAAGCTGGGAATTAAAGGTCTCCCCCAGGGCAGGTAGACTGGAGCAGTAGTGCCTGCAGGAAAGGAATCTGTGAAAGGACCGCCACTGTAGTGTGGGCTTGGGCTTAGGGGTCTGGGAGCCCAAGGAGAAAGCAGAGGAAGAATCTTGTCAAGTTCCTGGACCAGACTCTCTAGAGTTCACAGTTTTATCTACCATATTTGTATGTCATTAGGGCTTCCCTGGTGGCTCAGAGGTTAAAGCATCTGCCTGCAATGCGGGAGACCTGAGTTCGATCCCTAGGTTGGGAAGATCCCCTGGAGAAGGAAATGGCAACCCACTCCAGTATTCTTGCCTGGAGAATCCCATGGATGGAGGAGCCTGGTGGGCTACAGTCAGTGGGGTTGCAAAGAGTCAGACACGACTGAGCGACTTAACTATGGGGGTAGAAGACCCAGGATATCAAATTAGCCTTCTTCAGACAGGAAGGTTAAATGGAGGCAACCATAAAACCATTAGACAGAAAGAGGTAGCCAGAAAGGAAGACAGAGACGAGGAGGGGAGAGAGCGCGAGCAAAGAAGCACATGCTTTCTACTCAAGATTGGCTGCAATATCAAAGATCCAAACACTGGAGGAAAACTGGTGAAGACAGCCGTTCAAACCACCAATCAAAAAGATAAATATAATCCAGAAAAATATATAGACTATAAATAACTTTGGTAATTCTTCAAAAGGATAAAGCAGGAATCAGCAAAATATGACCCTACCAGCCACTCACCTATTTTTCTCATTTTATCTATTTCTTTTTTCACAGCTTCATTGAGATATAGTTTACATGTCATAAAGTTCATCTATTTAAACTGTAGAGTTCATTGGTATTTATTATATTTATATAGTTGTGTAATTATCACCATAATCTAATTTTAGAGTATTTTCATAATCCCTCAAAAAACCCCATACTCCTTAGCAGTCACTCCCCATTCTCCACTTTCCTAGGCCCTAGGTAACCGTTAGGCAGCTTTCTGTCTCTGGAGATTT